ACAGTCTTGGGTGCATTCATAGAAATTCAAATTTTCTACCGTTAGGTAGAGTATTTGTGGACTGGATTTAAGGATGTTAGAATTTGTTTGTAAAATGATAAGGGGAAGAGTGCATGGTCCCTTTAACAGTTGTTTTTTAGGTTTGGAAAAATTAGTCTGCAGGCAGCAGCAGATATACAGAGAGTTCTGGAAATTAGAACATTGTATCAAAAGGCTATACTGTTAGCAGGCAAAGCAGCGTTTTTACCAAGACAACAGGTTTTTGAATTTAGCCAATTAATTTAAACCAGGCCCTAGATACCAATTAAATTTAGATCTGATAGTTTTGACTAACTAGGACCAATCCTATTGTAAGAAAAGAATAGGTCATCGAGGTATAAAAGAAGACGGCGTTTGAAAATCGGTGTGAGAGTCAACTGACTTCTGCCAAGAGAACAGCTCTCGGCTATAAAAGAATGAATCACTGGCTCTCTCAGAAATCTCTAAGCTCTGAGTAAGCACCATTTAAATAAAGGTACTGCACCACTCTTAGCTAATATTCATGACACACGAACTCGATGGAGAAAGGTGTTCTTGAATGGAGGACAGCGGAAAAGGCAAAGAACATTCCAGAAGACTTATCCTGACTGTAATTTCAAGAGATTGTTTTAATTGTTTTATTAATTTGATTTACATAAGTGGGATTTGTATCAATTGGAACAGCATACTATTAGAATTTTGCTTTATTCAGGAATAATTAGTAGTTAAGGAGGAATTGTTTGATTTGTTACTAGTTCTGTTAATTTGTTAACTGTTAGATAAATAAATTGTTACTTGTTAATTGTAGAGTCACTGTCCGGAGTTCATTTTATTTCACCTCTCCTTTATAACAGACTGGGAGGTGAGAGACAGGTTATACCACTTTTCACATTTCCTTTAACAGAATGCAAGGTGAGGGGAACTTTTCTGGGGGTTTTGGTTTTAATTATCAGAGAGGCGTCAACCTCTCCTCTGTAACATTAGACAATTTTACATTAATTTTTTACATAAATTTTTTACATAATTTTGTAACAGTATTATGCAATCTAATTTGTCAAATTTTGTTCCCATATATTATGATTAGTAGTCGCTGTACATCTTGACAGCATGATGCCTAAGGAGGGTGGGAGTGGCTGCGGGGCTGAAGTAACGTGGCAGAGGTTTGGGGAGCTGATAGAGGACTTTTTTTATTTTAATATTGAGGATTCATCCTGGTTTGGATGGTGGACAGGAGGTGAAATGTAGGAGGTCTTGTTACATTTTCTTGGCTAGCAGGTGCATTGACATTGCTAAGAAAGCAGTGTGCACTGAGTGAGTCTCCAAGGATGGGCTGCAAAATAGCCAGGTATTTCAAATGGAAACCAAACAGGAAAATTTCCTATTAGCAAGTGCTCAATATGTATCTCAAAGAAAATGTTGACCACTGAGGTTTAAAAAACTTGGAATCTGATTAGAAATTCTTTGACTTGAATGTGACTACAAGCCGGCGACTGATTATACTGGACATGGGGGCGTTACTGATCTTTATACAATGTGAAACTTTTTCAAAGCCAGCAGTAAATTGTTGTTTGAAGTGGAGTGTTTCTCATTACATGAGCAATTAAGTTGGGGAATTTCTGTAGCTGATGTGAGCTCTTATGGCACAGTAGTAGAGCCTCTACCTCTGAACCAGGAGGCCCAGTTTCATGTCTCATTCGCCCAAGAATGGTATGATAGCATCTAGTTAGGGTTGAAGCTTAGCTTCCAGCTTGCCTATGACTGCATAATCAAGATAATGTGCTGTTGCTTGAGTTTTTAAATGGTAAGAATCACATTTTTATGAAGTACATATTTCCATTAAGTTTAACTCTGGTGATGCTGTTGATGATTTGTCTTGAATGAGAGAACTTTCAGCACTGTTAATACTATGCTTAAAAATTGCACCAAGGCTAACCTTGTTTCCAATATGACTCTGCCACTCCTTATACTTCTGAATTCAATTGGCTGGGCAAAGGAAGACATTGGATCTGGTTTCAGCCAGTTGGGAGCCAGCTTTTACGTTGGGGTGCTACCTCTCTGCACCCCAGCAATAGAGGGTTAAAACACTTGCATCATTGTAAGAATTGGCTTTATTTTTGTAAAAAAAAAATCAATTGACTATTACACGGGTAAAGAAGATTGCATTTATAAAGAGCTTAAGTCACTTCTTTTGAATCATTTCAAATGTGCTTCATATCCATAAATTACTTTAAAGTGTTGCCAATATGCTACAACTTCCTTTGGGAATTCGATAAATGCTTGAGAAATTTGCAGTGTTGTGGAAAAACAGTGGAGAATTAATTGGATAACTTGTTAAAAAGCCAGTATAAACATAAAGGGCTGCAAGGTTCTATGAGCTCAATGCTTATTATAATTGGTGCTATGGGAAACCTCCTAAACTAGGCAAACTGGGCCTTGGTTTCAGCTTATCTGGATGAAGATTATGAGAAGATGGGTCAAGTGTTTGACCTGAAAATCTTTGAACCCCTGGATCTGCAGACAGTCTGATAATTAATGCTATTTTGGCAGCAATTCTACATTTAATGCATTATAGCTGCCAAAAATTGAATTAGTCATGTCCAAGATGCTATTAGATTAGTCTTTAAACTTCACTTTTATTTGGTAGCGCAACATCAGCAATTAATAAGCTAATCAAGTAAGAATAGTGGAAGGAATCAATTCTAGATGCACCAGAAGTTGTGAACTTTGACTTTCACTGTATTATGTGAGAGCATGGACATGGGTGTAAAGTTTGATCTGCTTTGTTGGAAGGAGTTTTGTGAGAGCTAATCATTCAACATATGTTTACTTTCATGGTCAGTTATTGAGGAAGAAAATCAGTCAACATTTAAGGCTGTGTTGGGTAGATGACTAAAAGTTAAGGGATGTGGTAACAAGTTATAAAAGTGTAAGTATGGTTATTTGCTTAAGTGGAGGATAAACACCAAAAATGGCATGTTACAACATTGTGACTTCTATTTTTGTGCTCATCTGTGTCAGTGAGTGACATCAAGCTATTTAGCAGAGAGGTCTCTACAACCAAACCTGATGTCCTTGCCCCACAATACAATGCATGCTCTTTTTCACCAATCCATTGCTAGGTCTTTAGCTGATTGTTGTACCACACCAGAACTGAATTTACTGCTCTGTGTCCCCTGAATACATCATTAAGGAACAAAGGAAATGGAAATTAATATCGTTGGATTATTATTAATTCGTGTCCAGGAACTGAAAGCTGCTTGTAGACAGTATAACTGCTTGGAGCATGTTTCCTCTTGCAGAAGTATCTAGAACAAGGGGTCACAGTTTAAAAATAAGAAGTCTTTGAGACAAATAGGAGGAAGAATTTCTTCTTGGGATTGTTAGTCTTTGGCATTCTCTACCCCAGAAAGCATGGAGGTTGGGTCATTGAATAAATTAAGTGTAGGGTTGAATAGATGTTTGATTCACAAGAATCTGCAGAGTTGAGGATTATGTGAAGGAGACAAAGTGGAGCTAAGGCTACAGTTGGATCAGAGATCATCTGTTTGAAAGGTGTACATGGTTTGAGGAGCCAAATGACTTCATTCTTTTCCGATTTCTTATAATATTAGATATATGCTTGAGGTTCAGATAGTGGGTGTCTCTGGTAACTAGGCTAAGATGAAGGATTCTAAAGGACCAAGAGCATCTTTTGGGTATGATTCTAAACTTTATCATGCCATTAGCTGTGTCTCTGTTGATTTGTCATGAATAGCTGCTTTGTCATGAACAGCTACTTTTGTATAGACTTTGCAAGACAGCTTTTGGAGCACCTTATTTTGCACTAACTTATCTGTAGGTAAAATGGGGAAATCCCTTTGTAATCTTTTATTACAAGGATAATGAAGAAGAGGAGTATGTGAAGATGCCAGCCACTTGACATTTCAACACAAGATGTCCACCCAATTTTCAGCAGAGATGAAATTACTGATTGAAGGAATTCTGTGTGAATAGCTCTGATTCACCTGAACAGCTATAATCTGCCTTCTATCCAGTTTGTTATACAAATATGGTACAGTCAACACATACTACTATTTTAACGTAGGTGTGTGGTTTCCTGAAACTCTAAGAAGACTTCACTCTTCTCACGCATTCTTTGGATGATAAAAAATTCACTTTGCCAGTACGAAATCCCACACTTGTTGCCCTGTGCCCTTGTTTGCTTTGAGATGAGGAGAGAAATAATGGAGACAAGACTGTAATACATTGGAATTGTCTTTTTGAACTGCCCTAAAAGGCATAAGAATTCTCCTCCCCTGTCCTATGTGAATGGGCACTACACACCCACCCAACATTCATAACATCTGGAGTTATTTATTAATTAACTGTTTTAATCACCATTTTTAAAAAATGGCGGAATAAAATATTTGTCTTTCACAGCTTCCTAATTCACGTTATATAATTGGACAGGCTGTAATTTTACTGCCTTCCCTTTGATGAACTTTTTCATGTACTTGGTCATTAAGGACATTGGAAAGGAATGCCATGATTTTATTGCATTTGCTTGTCCCACATACTTTAACAAAATGGTGTAACATTGTTATAACTTACTCTTGCATCAAGTATAAAGGTATTTGAATGATCAGACCTTGCTTTCTTCCCAAGGCTTGTGTTGTAGTTGTGGCAGTTGGGGTGTTTGATAAGTTAAGATAAAAATTTCTTCTACTCAGTGGAATTCTCTGCTGCTTAAGCACATGAGCTTGATGACAAGCATAGACCTCAACCCATGAGTATGGGAGGAAAATATGTTCTTGTAAAAGCAAAGAATAAAACAGAGGAAGAAAGCATGCTAGTTACTACACTGCTCCAACAAGATAGAACCTGTATAATGATGTATTACTCAAAAGTAATTTAAATTTGATTAAGCATTTTAATTAATTTGTTACTGATGAAATAATATTACCCCTCCCTGTTTTAAAAGTAATTTTTCTTTCACTCTTTAGGCATGCTGAAAAGCAGCAAGTAATTGGGTCATCACTATCGCTTTTGAATACAGTAGTATTTTTTACCTGTAAAAGCTGAGAGCATTGTGAGGACAAGTAGAAGGTAAACTTTTCTGTCACTTTGAAAGTGGTATTAGGTCATTTGAGTTTACACTTCTGTACTATACTGATGTGGCTATTACAGCTCCAAATCAGTGTAACACATGCAGACATGGCAGTCCATTGCGTTTATATTACAGTTCAGACTCCACTGCAAAGTAGGGGCAGCCTTGTTTTATTCTATTGGCTTTCAGACCAGTAGAGTGGCAAGTATTTCATGCTAACTTTTTCCTGCAAACACATGCATTTTTGCTTTTTTTTCCTTCTGCGCAGTCAGAAATCTGCAATTGCATTGTCTACCTCTGATTTGGTCCTGGCATAATATGGGGAAAAGAGCTGGATTTACTTGAAAGCTGGGACCTGTGTCATGTACCTGCCAAGGAGGGTTTGAGTCTTCTCATCAGTTTCAGTTCCTCTCTTCAAGAAGTCGTGCCACTTGCTTCTGCCAGTCTGTTTTCGCATTAACAAACTATTCCACAAGAAATTGTTTATCCTTTTCAGCTTTGGATGTCAATTGGGAGGCTTCTGAGTAGAAAAGTCTTACTACTGGCTAAACTCTATTATTGCGCTCTGTACACATAGAAAGTTGCTTCCAACAAGCTGTTTACTCTCAGCTCAGTGGTTTCAGTTACAGGCTGCTTGACAACTGCTTCACGAACAAATTATGAAAGTTGATGCACTTGCTGCAGGGTGACACAGTTGTGTCATCCATGCCTTCATTCTCTTCCCCCCGCCCCCGTACCAATCCCCCTAATCTTTCCACTACAAGCTGATGTGGGTGTACTGAGGAAGCAAGTGGTGATGGAACTCAACCATTTGTTTGGGAGTCAGGCCATCTTCTAACAATGCTACTGGATTGCACCAAATTGTTTAGATTTTAACCTTTTTTGATGACTCTATCCCTAGATCGGGGGAAAATAGCGGGACACAATCTTAAAAATCAGAACTGAGCTATTCAGGAGATAAATCAGGAAGCACTTTTCTGATGCAAAGCATACTGAAAATCTGGAATTCTCTTGCCCTAAAAAGCTGATGATGCTATGACAATAGACCTCTTCAAGACTGAAATTTTAAGTAAAAGTATGAAAGGCTATGCACCTCAGGCAAGTAAATGGAGTTGACCTCTAGACCAGACGCAATCAACTTAAATGGCAAAACAGGCTTGAGAGACTGAATGGTCTCCTCCTGTCAATTTTTTTTCTAAACAGTTGCTTTGCGTCCACTACAGGTTCATATGCATCAAGTGTCTATGGCTGGAAGTCCACCAGTCTCCTTGACTGAACAGGCTCAAGTAAAGCTCATCACAATTACTGATGATTTAGTTCAGCAACTAGCTGAACAACAGGTATAGTCTATTTGTTCCAGCTACTAATGAAAGTAATTATAAATGCATAAAGTCTGTTACATGGACAGTAGTTGCAACTGTATTGTGAATCTTAACAGTCAGATTAAATTTGAAAGGCTTTAGTTAGTTTTATTTTGAACACTTCATTTTGCTTTTATGTTCATTTTAGGATCCTTCAGCTGAAAAATATTTAGCTTTATTTCAAAGAGATAATAAGAACTGCAGATGCTGGAGTCAGAGATAGCACCGTGTGGAGCTGGAGAAACACAGCAGGCCAGACAGCATCAAAGGAGCAGGAAAGCTGATGTCTTGGGTCGGGACCCTTCTTCAGAAATGGGGAGGGGGAAGGGAGCTCAGAAATAACTTTATGCTTGAGAAAACTTTAGGAGCCAAATCAATGGTGATTGAAACTTAAAATCTCGCCATGTATTTTTCTTTTGATGGAACAAGACCATTGAATAAACTGTGACCCTGAACTTTGAATGTGAAAAGAGAAATGCATGGCTCATTCTGACCAGCAAGTAAACAAGAGAACACCAGGATGAAAAAAAAACCTGTGCAGTCAACTTACTTATACGGAACCCTGAAACACATGCAACCTACTTTTATATGTGCGATAACTTCAATACAAATTTCTCAATTGTGAATCTGGATGTCTTTTGCATGCAACAAGAAATCCTCAAGTGTTATGTGGAGAACAAAAATTTAAAATGCAGTTTTCTAATTATTTTAAACAATAATAAGTTCCCCTCCAAATCCCCGACTTGGAAGTATATCCTTCACTGGTCCTTCACCATCATTGAGACAAAATCCTGGAACTTCCTTCCTACCACCACTGGGTGTACCTATCGCTGTGGACTATAATGGTTCAGGACAGCCACACTCTGAAAAAATAATGCAGAAATCTACTAATCCACAATGTCTTTTTTTAATGTCTGAAACTATTTTACTTTTTTTCTAACCCTTAAAAAGTTTTGCTTTTCCAGAAGCTATTTGGTTTGGTCTTTTATGTTCAGACCTGTATTTGAATTCTATTCTGAGCAGTGTTCCTCCACAACAGGCTTTTCACTCAACAAATTAGAAGAAAATAAAAGCAGCTGCTAAAGCAAAACTTCTTCTACCTGGGTTTCCTTTGATACAGTTTTCATGAAATCCATTGTTGCTTTTGGTATAGTTGAGGATAAAAAAGGTTGCCTCTGAAAAGGCACAAAATAGCTTACTGAAAACTGGAGCTTGTGAGTGCCTTGTGTTAGTTCCTATATGAGTATCCGCTGAAGAGGTAAGGCTTCATAAGCTTGAGGACAATATCCATTTGTGTTATACTGGCAGAGCCATCTTTTAATACACGTGCACTTGAGGCACACTGTTACATTCTGCGACCTTTGCCTGTTTGACCTAGAAGTGATTGTCATGTTCATTTACATTTTGTTTTTCCTGTATGAAATTAGGCTTGTTTTGCAATGTTAATTCACTTCTGTAACTTGCAGTAGTAGTAGTTAGGCTGTCTGCATATTTCAGTGAGATTTATAATATTGGTTTAGTTTTATTCATTAAACTCAACAGGAGCCCTAGCTAAGAAGTCATTCGAATTACCATTTGAGGTGTGTTGGGTTAGATTGGCAGTGGGGATCTAAGAGAATTGCAGAGTTTAGAGTTTTGGTCTCCTTTATGTAAAGATAATTTATATTATGTTGATTATAATATAAGTGCTATGCTGAGAGTTTTGAGGCTGCAATATTAAGGGGCAAAGAAGACCTGCTGAAAGAACTAGCTGTAATTTTTTGACTCTGCCCTCAAACCCTAGGCTCCTCAACTTGACGAGATAGGGAAATTTGGGACTAACTATCTGTTCTCTGATTTTGCTGCCAAGTTTTGTTTGATTTGGAGTGCTTGGAAATGTTTCACTGTATTAGTAGTGCTGTTATAAATGCAAGTTCTCATTGACACAAGGGATTTGATGAAATTAGCATGTCATTTTTCAGAAGATCCTCAAGGTTGGTCAGTATACTCGTAAATTCATTTATTGAAAGTAGCTGGGATGGAAAGCAGATAATGTGAAAACTGGAATCATTCTTGGTGTAGTAACCAGCATCTGTTTGAAGTTTGATTCTAGAAACAATGCAAGGGACTGGCATCACCATTTTAGAATGACACTCCAGATAAGTTTTGTGATGACTTCGTCTTGAGTATGTTTGGTGAAATAATAAGCAGTTTCTGAAATAATCCAGAAACAGAGAAATAAGTACATCTGCTTAACCATATTTATGATGCCACTCTACAAAGAGCGATCTCATCCTCTAATACCACATGTAATGTCATATGAATCAAGTAAATAGGCTAGGTGATAGGTATTGGGAAGGTTGTTGGAATTTAAGAAATAAAATTGTAATGGAGGTGAAGACATGAAAGAAAATTGGAGCAAATGTTCCAAAAGGTTGAGGTAAGGTAGGCATTTTTAATATAGTAAATAGACATTGGAATGGTAGAAGTGAACTGTGTACCTCATGAAAAAGTACCTTCCAGAAAAGTAGGACCTTAATGGAATTGTTGGCTGAACACAGAAGTTATCAAGTATTTGCAAAATTGTCAAAAGCAAAGTTAACCATGTGTTCGGGGTATTCATATTCATACATATGTACCATGCTAGTTGAATCATGTTATTATCAGACAAGTTGAGACATGTTATTGTGTGCACCATAAATTGAAAAGAACATTGATCCTTTTGTGAGGAGCAGCATGTTGTTGTGGTAATCTAAGTATCTAATTTGTAAAGAGGCTGGCAGAAGCACGCTTTTATTTCCTTAACAACCAGAGTGATCAGTGGCACGATTTTATAAATTACCGAGACGTATAGAAGTTTTGGATGCAAGCAGGGGATTTTGGTAGAACAGTGTTGCATGAGAAAACATGGTTTTACAAAATTAATAAGTATTGAGTTGAAATGGAAATTATAAGCTTCCTTGTACATTGCTGTAAGTTTCTGGAACAGCCAGGATTGACAAGTTCAATTAAAAACAAACCAATTGGTTATCTCCTAGGAATGGAAGTAGGAGTTATGTCAAAGCCTTTTGACGTTCAAGGGAGAGCTCCCTTGTTGAACACGTGCTAACTAAAACACAAAAGGAATATCTTTGGTGATATACTTTTGCCAAGTTAGTAAAATTATTTTGATAGATGCAGCATAGCAGCATTCATAGTCTTCACCAATTTCTATTTGTTTTTGGCTCCATTTTCTCAGTTTTAGCCAGGAAGTGGAACTCAGCTCAGTCTGGCTTCAATTCATCTTCCGTGCTATTATAAGCAACGATTACAACAGTGGAGCCATTTGAAATTCTGGCTATTTCAATCTCCCAGCTGAGCAGGGTATTAATAATGAGGCACCAGTGGGAAATGAATGAAAGAAAAAAAAATGTGGTGGAGGTGCCGTACTTTTTAAAAATCATTTTTAAAGTTAACTTTAATTGCAATGGACAGGGATGCTTTTCATAAAAAACATTAAAGTTAGATGTGCCTTTTTTTTTATTTTTATTATTGTATATTTCCTGGCAACTTCCTCACAGGTCTCCCACTCTCAAGGGACATTATCTACTGTAGCTCCAGGAACTGTAATAGGACGACCAATAATGACCAGTACCCCACAGAGGATTCAGATTGTTCCCGCAGACCCTGGTGTCACAGTAGCTCAGCGCATTCAGGTAGACTTTCTCTTACTAAACGTGGTGAAAATAGCCTAACAGTTGCATGTACTTGAGCACTAAAACCTGCTCCATCCATACTATTTTCAGCCTTTGCAAAGGGTATGTAAGCAGATGAAGAAGTCTGGCTTCCCTCCTCATGTAGGTAGTTACTGGTCTGTGTGGTGTTGTACCTCCTTGCATTGCATTGTGCTGCCAGTACTTTTTAACTAAATTGTCTGTCTCATTGGCCATTAATTTCTGCACACCTAAAATATGACAGCATTAGATTTGGTTTTTCCTCGCCTAGCATTTGATGGGTGTCAGCTACTAAACAATACATTTTTATTTGTAGATTGTCACAGATCAGCAGACGGGCCAGAAGATTCAAATAGTCACATCGATGGATCATGGTGCGAGCAAGCAGTTCATCTTAACAAATTCAGACGGCACACCATCGAACAAAGTGATTTTAGCCAGACCTGATTCAGGACAAGGAAAAGTCATCCTGGCCACACCTGACTCTGCAGGTCTCAACCAACTCATTTTTACATCTCCTGATGGATCAGCACAGCATATACAGGTGCAGTGAATGTAAATGCAGTGACCTTTGTTATTAGAAAACTATGTATGTAGCATTCAATTGAATTGAAATAATGTATTTGCCCATTGTATTCTTAACTTCTCAACTTTCTTTGGATTTCTGTTTTGCTTGCTTTTGGATGAGTGCTGTTGGCAAGCTCAACGCAAGTCCATTCCAAGTTGCCTTGAAAACGTTGGTGGGTTGTCTTCCTGCCACCATTAAAGAGCCATGGCAAAGCCAGCTCCAGAATTCAGTACATTCCTGAACCGCGAATGGCTCTGCCACTTTCAGCAACTAAGGTCAAATTTTGCCAGAGATGTTCAGAAATGCCTCCCAACTAAAATTTCCACCTGATATTTCAGTCTTCTTCCAATCTCTCATTATAAGTTTGGCTAACTCTCCCAGAGTGTCTGTTAAAATTATGGCAAGAAATCCAGAGAATTCTAATAAATTCTAGTCCTTGATCCTTTTACTGTATTGAATTAAAAGAGGGGTGAAAAAATTATATATTTTTGCCTTTTGTAGATTGTAACAGATACTGCTTCAGGAGAGCAAAGTGCAGTCAAACCGCCACTGGAGTTTTGTGTAGTTTGTGGGGACAGGGCTTCCGGTAAGGCAATGCTTCTTCATTCTCTGACAAATATTTAAATACAACTAATTTGCAGAGATTTTTGATTACATGGAAATAATACTTCTAACTTGTTTTGTGGCTATCCGGTTGCTTTAATCACATGCAGTTTAATACTTTTGAGTTAGATAAAGATGAGACATTGTGAATCTGGATGCTTGCCTGGCTCCTTGGTTTGTCATTTTTGTGCATTTCTGTACCCATTTGAAAAAAATTGGAATACAGTTGTCTGCCCATTGCCTGTCAGAAAAGCATTAATTGCTCTGAGAGTCTGTTTGGTCCTTCTTTCTCCTATCTCATTGGTCCCATGAAATTCATTGATAGGCTGACAACCAGTGATATGTAGAATGAAATAATGGCCTTTGAAAAAGAGGATGATTAGATTTCAAATTCCACGTTAGTTGGTGGACAGCCTGCTATGTGGTTCTAGGATTTTACTCTCCTAGTCTCCCTGAAAGAGTCAAATAGAGTCAACAGCATTTAAGTATGTGAAGCAACAGTAAATTATCTCTGTGTAGAAAATAAATTTTCTTTATGTAGTGTTTTAAGATAATTTAGTGCCCCCCAGGAGCATTATAAAACAAAGTATGACGTCAAGGCTCATACAAAGATCATAGATCTGATAAGCAAAATCTTTGGCCAAACAAATAGGTTCTGACACCTTCTGATCTTCCGTCCATCATGAAGTCAAAAGTGGGGATGTTCAGAAACGACTGCACAATGTTTAGCACCATTCATATCTTATGAGTCCGTGGCCAAATGCAACAAGGCCTGGAAGGCACCCAGGTTTGGGGTGGCAAGTACTGTGTAAGATTTACCACTCAAGGCAATGACCATCCTCAAGAAGAGATCTCTGTCTCGAACCTTGGCACTCAATGTCATTACCGTCACTGAATCCTCACTATCAATATTCTGGGAGTTATCATGGACCAGAAACTGAATTGAATCAGCCATAAAAACACACTGGCTACAAAAGCAGGTCAGAGGTTAGGAATTCTGTCATAAATAATTCATCTCCTGTCACCCCACTTACCAGGATAGGTGCCACTCCAACAGCACCTAAGAAACTGGACATCGCACAGGACGAAGCAGCGCACTCAATTGGCACCACATCCACAAACATTCAGTCCCTTCACCACAAGTGCATGGTAGCAGCAATGTGTTCATCTGCAAAGTGCATAGAAATTCTCCAAGGCTCCTTCAGAATCACTGTCCAAACCCACAACCACTTCCATCAAAAAGGAAAAGAGCAATAGGTAAATGGGAACATCACCACCTGCAAGTTCCTATCCAAGGCACACACCATCCTGTCTTGGAAATATATTCCTGTTCCTTTGTCACTGGGTCAAAATCCTGGAACTACCTTACTAACGGAATTCTGGGTATACCTACATCACAGACTGTAGTAATTAAAAAAAGGTAGCTCACCACTACTTTCTAAGGCATTTAGAGATGGGCAATAAAATGCTGTCCTAGACAACAACACTCAAATCCCCGAAATGAAAAAAAGCCTTAAAGAAAAAATAAATGAGTGAGAGTGGGGAGACAGATAGGAAGGGAATTCCAAAGTTGCCATTTAGACAACTGAAAGTAATCAATGCTGGAGCAATAATAATTGGGAATGTGCAAGATAACTCAGAGGCAGAGAAAATTAGAGATAGTGATGGACAAGGCCAATGGCGAGGGATTTGAAAAAGATCAGAATTTTGAATTCAAGGTGTTGCTTGACCAGGAGCCAGTGCAGGTCAGTAAACACTGGGGTGATAGGAGAGCAGGAGTTGCTATTATTTATGAAACTGGCGGAAACATTTTGGATGACCTTAAGTTTTTATGAAGAATAAAATGTGGGAGACCAGACTGGAGTGAGAGTCTAGAGGAATCCACAACACAGATGAAATTTTCATAGCTGATGAGCTAAGACTGGGTAAAGATGAGTGTTGTTGCAGAGATGGAAGTACCTGGTCTTCATGGAGATACGGATGTGAGGTTAGAATCTGAATTAATTATATCTGAATTAAATGTGACATCAAGGTTGCAAACAGATTAACTTAACCCTCAACTGTTGCCAGGAAGAGAGTGCATTCAGTAGTTAGGAAGCAAAGTTTGGAGCAGGGACCAAAAACAATTATTTTATTCTTCCCAATATTTAATTGGAGGAAGTACAAGAGAAAGGTGGTTAAAGAGTGGAAACAAAATGGCAGGTTCCAAAGAATTAGAGTGGGAGAGAAGTAAAGTCACAATTGAAGAAATAAGCTATTTATTTTTGGCTGTAGTGGTTTTCAGCTAAGTTACAGACTGTTGATTGTACTCTCTTGTACTGATTGTGTACTGACCATTCAAACAACTCAGTGTAAAGATGGCACATAATTGGAAGATCTGTGGCTTTCACAAACCTTTTTTTTCTATCTCAATCTAAACTTTACTGTCAAGAGAAATGCTAAATTCTGTCATTTTCATTAACACCTTAAACATGGAACATTGAAGTTCTGTGTGAGTTTAAGCCTACACCGATCTGGAGCTGACTGAGGCCATTAACGTGTACATTGATCATATGTGTCTCTACATTTCTTTTCCTGGTAACTGCTGTAACACTTTTTCTTAATGGAAAACTTCAAGTGTTTAGCACTTTTGAATAAACCAGTAATTTTTTTTTATCCCCTCTGATCTTGCTTGTATATTTGATACCGGGATGCTAGTCTTTTGTTCTTTCCCCTCTATGCTTTATAGGACGCCATTATGGAGCAGTGAGCTGTGAAGGTTGTAAGGGCTTCTTCAAAAGAAGCATAAGGAAAAACTTGGTGTATGTTTGCAGAGGATCAAAAGACTGTGTTATTAACAAGCACCACCGAAATCGTTGCCAGTACTGCCGGCTGCAGAGGTGCCTGGCATTAGGGATGAAGCAGGACTGTAAGTGAATGGCTGAATCTCCAAATGATTTGAGCCCATTTACAAATTAAGAGTAGCTGTATTAACCATTGTGATGCTGTCTGCTTTTCAATAGCTGTTCAGTGTGAACGGAAACCAATTGAAGTTTCACGAGAGAAGTCTGCAAACTGTGCAGCCTCAACTGAGAAGATTTATATCAGGAAGGATTTGCGGAGTCCTTTAGCTGCAACACCTACCTTTGTAACAGACAAAGAAAGTGCAAGGTACTAGATCAACCATCCACAGATATAAAAGAAACAGTGTTAAATCTGGAAAAGAGATGATCGTAGTAGCAACCGGTATTAAACACTGGGATGTCCAGAATTGGTGTGGAGAAAAGGTTTAGGATTTGAAAACAAAAAGTAACATGATAAAATCCACCTATGCTCGGTTCGCGACAAACGACTACACCTCCCAGTCGCGAACCACTTCAACTCCCCCTCCCACCCCTTGGACAACATGTCCATCCTGGGCCGCCTCCAGTGCCACAACGATGCCACCCGAAGGTTGCAGGAACAGCACCTCATATTTCGCTTGGGAACCCTGCAGCCCAATGGTATCAATGTGGACTTCACAAGCTTCAAAATCTCCCCTCCCCCGACCGCATCCCAAAACCAGCCCAGCTCGTCCCCGCCTCCCTAGCCTGTCCATCCTTCCTCCCACCTATCCACTGCTCCCACCTCAAGCCCCACCCCCACCTCCTACCTACCAGCCTCATCCCGCCTCCTTGACCTGTCTGTCTTCCCTGGACTGACCTACCCCCACCGTAACTCCCCACCTACACTCACCTTTACTGACTCCATCCCCACCTCTTTGACCTGTCTGTCTCCTCTCCACCTATCTGCTCCTTTATCCATCTTCCATCTGCCTCCCCCTCTCTCTATTTATTTCAGAATCCCCTTCCCCTCCCCCATTTCTGAAGAACGGTCAGCTTTCCTGCTCCTCTGATCCTGCTTGGCCTGCTGTGTTCATCTAGCTCTACACCTTGTTATCCATGAGGTTAGAATGCTGTTTGCTGCAATAAAGATGGTTCAATTGCTAAGTCCTCTTTAGAGCAGGCATTTGTGATGAAGCATTCAATGCAACAGGTTCTTGGCCCAGAATCCTATAATTGCTACTGTTGATTTTCTTCCTACTTGTTGTACAAACAATAAATTAAATGCGTAACAGTCAGTTTTGAAGTACACCATTTTAATATTCTTATTCACATTGTTGGAAAGACAGAAACTCCTGGGAATACTCAAAGAAACTTGCCAATTTATCCAGAGATAATAACAATGTAAAATGCTGAAATTACTCAGGTTAGGCAACAGCCCTGAAGGAAGATCATTGATCTATAATGTTTTTCCTTCCACAGTGCCTGATTGCTGAGTATTTCCAGCATTTTCTATCTTCATTTCTGGTGTCCAGCATCTGCATTATTTTGCACATGTATTCAGAGTAGACACCTAACCAGGTGTTAGGGCGGAGGTACTGTATGCTCTTCCAGTACTCCCTTTATGGTTCTGTATCTGATGCTAATGACGTAAGATGGCTCCCTTAATGGTCAAGTGGAGTTGACGGTGCTTGGGTAGGAATTTAATAGTTTGACTGAAGAAGGAGTGAATTCTGTCATCATGGTTGTTGTGTGCATACAAATTACTTGCACTTTTATTTCTAAAAGGTCTGCAGGTCTGCTGGAGCCTGGAATGCTGGTAAACATACAACAACCACTGCTGAAGACAGAGAGTGCTATGCTACTTGCAGCTGAGAGTAAGGTGGGATGTTGTTGCAACTTAGTCTAAATTTCATGATATCCTTTAAGCTCTACATTTAGAGTACAAAACCTTTGTGAACTGTCCTTTTCATTTCAGGCTGAAACCTGTCAAGGTGATTTAAGCACTCTAGCAAATGTAGTAACATCACTTGCAAACTTAAGCAAATCCAAGGATCTGTCTCAAAGTAGTGCTGATTTATCAGGGATTGATGCCTTAAGTAATGGAGATACTTCTTTATCAGAAATGCAACAAGATGATCAGTCTGCCAGTGATATTACAAGGTAATTATAATCTGATAAGTCACAACAAATACTGGAACTGCTTACAATAAAAAGTGTGCTGAAAAATGGTGAGTAGAGAAGCAAAGTTTCAGGGTGGAAGACAGACAAGATTAAATGACGAACGTGGTGATGGTACAAGACGAAAGGAGATGGTAATTGGTCAGTCGAAAAAAAAATAGGTCTAGGTGGTGTCAGCAGAATCATTTCTAACCGCTGCTGTCTATGAGAGTGATTATGATCTGAAACTGTCAGAAGGGTTCCTGTAGTGCAGTGGTAGTGTCCTACCTCTGAACCAAGAGGCTCATTTTCAAGTCATACCTGCTACAGAGGTCTGTCGTAACATCGCTGAACAGGTTTATTAACATATCTTTAAAACTGATCAGGAGGGATTTCCAGGATCTTGAAGGAATAGCGATATATTTCCAAGTCTGGATGGTGAGTGGCTTGGAGAAGAACTTGCAGATGTCAAAATCATACCTTAGAAATCGTACAACCTTTTGAAAATCCAAGATGTATCCTTAAAATGTACACCAAACATCCCATCGTTATTCTAAATTATTTTGGTGAATTATAGACTTTATGGTCGCAAATGTTAATTGCAGATATCTGTCAGCCTTTTCAATCAGTTGATTTATTTGTAGTCTTCATCATACTATACGTGATATCAGTAAAGTAGACATATGACCCAAAATGTTACTTTAGTAAAACATACCTGTGTTTTCTGATTGTTGGTATTTCAGGGCATTTGATACACTAGCAAAAGCACTAAACCCTGCAGAGGGGCAGGCTGTTCAGAACTCGGCAGAATGCATGGATACTTCTGGTGCCAACATCCAGCTAATTAGTGGAGAACAGTCTCTACCTGTTGTCGAGATTGAGGGTCCTCTTCTCAGTGATGTGCATGTCGCCTTCAAGGTATGGTTGTCTGTGTTCCATGCTGAAGTTATTCTGACATAGGATGTTAAATTTCATTAATGTTTTATAAATTTCTAATGGATGTGTTGCAGTGTGTTCTACTTGCCTGTTTCGCCTCTTCTATGTGGTGCCATTGGATCTCTTTCTCTCCCCCGCGAGAGTAGATAACATTTGTTGAATGTTTCATGCAAAAGCCAGCATCCATGACTTGAAAGAAAGAGAATTTGCATTTCTATACCTTTCCTGACTGTGATGTCCAAAGCCTCTTATAGCCATCTGAGGGATGTGACAGCCTAGTGATAATGTAATACAGAGACTCCAGTATTTTCTGACCTGGGCTCTCATTCGCCATGGCAAATGGTGGAATTTAAATTTAGTGAAAATCTGGAATTCAAGAGTTGAATGAAATGGTTGTAAGAACATATCTGTTTCATTAATGTCCTTCAAGGAAGGCAACTGCTATCCGTACCTGGACTGGCCTTCATGTGACTCCAGACTCGCAACAATGTGGTTTGTTTTTACTGCCCTTAGCTTCCATATAGTTATATCAACTGCTAGAAAGTCTTGAAAAAGGAATGGAACTGGACAGGCCACCTGGCATTAAGACCCAGAATCAGCAATAACAAATACAGCCCTGTTGACCCCTGTCTGACAGAATAGTCCGGCAATGGCCTGATATAGTCATACAAAATCATATCTTGCACATAACATCCCATTCCTGGGTACGTCCTGAGCCACCAGTAGGACAGATTCAGCATAGGTGGTGACGCAGAGTTATACAGTTGGGAGAGAGAGCTGCCCTAGGGGTCCTCAAACAAACACAAACAGAAATTGCTGAAGAAATTCAGTATCTCTGCATAAATGCTGTTCAACTTGCTGAAATTCTCCAGTAATTTCTGTTTTTGTTTGTTTCAGATCACCACATCCACAGTTCTTTGTTTTATTCTGGAAGTCCTCAATATTGACTCCAGATCCCATTACATCTCAAGGCTTCATGGCATCAGCTCATACTTAGCCAAGGAAACCTTCTGTTGACTACTATGTACCATCCCCTCTCAGCTGCTAAATCAGTACTCCTCCATGTTGAACAACACTTGCAGGAAGCTCTGAGGGTAGCAAGGGCACAGAATGTACTCTGGGTGAGAGATTTCAAAATAAAGGACATTACTGCTAGACTGCATGTGCAGTAGGTGATGGAGTAACATACTTTATCTCATCCTCATCAATCTGCCTGCTGTAGATGCATCTATCCATGACAGCATCAGTATGAGTGACCAATATTTTTGATGTGTTGTCAGTTGTGATGGAGAGAAACATGGCTGTCAGTTTGTACGTGGCAAGTCCCAAGCAATTAGCCAGATAACCCATTTTCATTGATGGGTAAAAGTTGATTAGGACACAAGACAATCTTCTTGCTCTGATTTAAGTAATACAATGGGATATTTTTGTACTCACCTAACAGAGTAGCTATGTCCACAGTGGGACATTACATAAAACAAATAGCATCTGTGACAATGTAGCACCACTTATCTAAAGCATTGAAGGGTTGGCCTTATTTATAAGCTAAGGTCTTTGATGTGGCTAATATCCATCATCAGTCAAGGGTGCTACTACTGCGCCATAACTAATACTTAAAGACTTACTTGAATTAAGTAGCTGAAAGTCCATCGAAGGAATTGGTGTTATAGTTCATAGTAATTCATAGGCCCAGGCTAATACCCTGTGATAGAGTTCAGATCCCTTCATGGCAATTGAGGAGAATTAAATTTCGATTAACAAAATCTGGAATTGAAGGCGGGTCTCAGTAAAGATGACCATGAAACCATCGTCAATTGCTGTAAAAACTGATCTTGTTCACTAATGTTCCTTTTAGGGAAGGATATCTGGCATCCTCGTCCAATCTGGCTTACATGCGACTTTCATGACCTTCACATTCTTTTTGGGTTTTGGGAACACCATTTCTAGATTTAAATGGCCCCAACTGGCTGTATATTTAATGTGTAAAATTTTAAAATGTTTTTCTTCATGTTAATGAATTGTGAATTGCATAATCACTTGTTTTCTTTTATGCTCTCATAGGGAATAATTGTTAACTTTATTATTCAATCGTTTTGTGCCTCTTCGTATTTCCACTTCTTATTTTGCTGCCTTCCATTTCATTTCTTGAGCTCTTGGATTGACCTTTTCCAATTTAATATTTCATTTTCAATTTATTAGCCTACTTAAAATCCTCACTCTGTAGTTTCAGTTCTGAAGTAGTAGTCTGTAGTAGTGAAATAATGGTTTTGTTTACATATTGCTTGAATGTTACTTGGGTGGAGTAAAGATCATACTTGGTATGTGTCTCTTATTGAACAATGTTAAAGGTTTTGCTTCTAATGGTAAATGATTATTAGTTTTCCATTTTGTACCCTTCTGTTGAGGTTCCCAGCATCAAAGATGCAAGTTTTCAGCCAATTCACTTCATTTCATTTGATAGCAAGACACTCCTATTGCACTGAAGTCTAGTGCTCCTAGTCAAGCTATTGTCTGCAACAGCAACACTGACATCTGCCTGACAATCTGGAAGACTGCTTGGGTGTATCTTGTCCACAAAAAGCAGAATATATCTAATCCATCCAATTACTGCTTCATCAGGCTACTCTCAGAAATCCATGAAATGACAGAAGATGTTGTTGATAGCGCTGTCAAGCAGCACTTAAACAGAAATGACCTCCTTGCCAATGCTTAGTTTGGGTTCCACTTTTGGTTCTGAGCTCATTTGCATAAATATAGACAAGAAGAGCTGAATTTGAGAGGTGACATGAGTGACTGCCCTTAACATCAGGTAGCAGTTGATTGAATGTGGTAGTTTGGCCAGGTAAGAAGCAGGAGAATGGCTCACCGCTTTTCTCACAGGTTAGACTACAAGTTTTTTAAAGGGTATACCTTGCAATTCAGTGAGTATTTGAGTACTCTGACTGTAAAAGAGACACAGATATGCCTTTGAAAAGATTTATAAGAAAACAAGAGAAAATGATTATTGTTAATCTAAATCTAAACAAAAATAACTGTGAGGCGCTCTCTCTCTATCTCTCTTGCATTCAAGTTCATACCCATCCACGTGCACTGGCACACACACTCGTGCAAGTAAGTTGTAAAGTGGGAGGATAGATTATGTCATTTAAAAAGTCCACAGAAATCTGTTGTCTCTGGGTTTAGTAAATTAATACCTTGGATAGTCTTGGATCCACCTCAAGGTTCTTTTCAGATTCTGCAATGGAACAATTTATACATGGTTCTGGGTGATTTTTGTTGATTTCCTGCATTCAGCAGCTGCTGGATCAGTTTTTAAATGCTGTCTGTAAGGTAGAGTATGTAAACAACAAGATGAATGGAGATAGAGAAAGAAATCATGTCCACTCGGGCCGCCATATTTAGCATCTCTTGTTCTCCAGCCTGGAGGCACACAGATTTTGTAAACATGAGGTTAGGTGGCAAGGTCCCATCTCACTAACTGACTTTTTAACCAAGCATAGCAAGTTTATTCCAGTTTTATGGTTTAGAATTGTTTCGAAAATGACTGGAAGAGTTCCTTTCTTGGTCAGAGTCCATTGTCCAAAGCGATTGCGTCTGATGGCCTGGTCACCCCACAGTCTGGATGTTTTGTCAATAGGTCAGGAGATGGGATTGCACACATTCCTCCAATGTAATTGTTTCTGATGGGTTCTTTTAGATAGTCTGACTCTATTGTTAATGGCCTTGGAAATTTTTGGGATGAAGTTATGCTAATATTCATGAAACTGAGAATCTACTGTTATTGGTCTATGAACTTCTGTTCCTCAGTTATTTAACATTTACTGGATTTCAGACAATAAATAGTCATTTTTGATCAAAAGCAAAGGCCTTAGAACAATTGTATCAAGGAGCCCTCATAAAATTGAAGACTTTACAAATGACCGGGAATAACTCTCCATTGGGTGGAGTTGTAGTTAGCACAAAGGAATAAGATTGTGGCTGTTGGAGGATATTCATCTCAGCCCAGGACATCACTACAAAATTCCAAAGAGTAGTGTCCTAAGCCAAACTATCCTCAGCTGGTTAAACCTTCAATATATTCCCTCTCATAAGGTCAGAAATGAGGATGTTCGCTGATGACTGTACAATGTTCAGTATCATTTGCAGCCCCATGTCCACATGTAGCAAAACCTGGACAACATCCAGGCTTGGGGTGACAACTGACAAGTAAAATTTGCATGACTCGTGATTCAGGTAAAGACCACTTTCAACGAGAGAGACTCTTAACTGTCCAGAGAGCTAATATGTTCAAAGATTCAAGAATGTAGCTCACTGTCACCTTCTCAAAGGCAATTATGAACATGTCACCAATGCTAGCCTAACGAATAGCACTTTCATCTTAACAAATAATAAATTTAAAATGCTCAGATTTATAGCCTTATCTGTTATGTTTTGTGCTTGGTGTCAGCTTATGTAGTACCTTAGGAAGAAAAATTGAATAACAAGTAAAGGCTGTCCTATTGAGAGATAACAAATATTGTATTGATTTAAATGCCTTCTGAAGTGACCTAAATCTAGTAGTAAATTAAATGTACTAAGAACAACAATAAGGGATAGCATAATTGTATCACTAACTACAAACGGAAATTCTTCAACTCAGCAAGGAAGCTTTTCTGACTGGCGATGAGTTGCCTTGATATTAATAAGTGCTTGTTTTTTCACCTGCAGCTAACTATGCCATCACCTATGCCAGAATACCTGAACGTGCACTACATCTGTGAGTCTGCATCAAGATTACTGTTCCTCTCCATGCATTGGGCAAGGTCGATTCCAGCCTTCCAGGCTCTCGGGTTAGTGCTTTATTTGACCGCTATTTGGCGTTACAGCTTGGGGAAAAATGATTCTGGTGGGGTGATGAAGAACAGGCACAGTCTGAGGGCTAAATAGCTTTCAGAGGTAGAACCCTGAAGAGATACCAGGGCAGAATTCCAGAAGGCCAGGTACAATGATGAGTCCAAGGATCAAAGCTGGGTATTCCGATCTGTAAAAGATCAGTGCTACACTTACTCAATGAGCACATAAATTCTAACATCCTGTGAATCAATTATATACTCTAAAGGTTTACCAATAATTAGACTTTATTGGTGAAGAGGTTTTAGTTCTTTATTCCCTTTTCATTTTAGGTTTGAGAATTCTATATCGTTTATATCTTTTCCACAGGCCAGACAATAATACAGCTTTGGTACGCGCTTGTTGGAATGAACTCTTTACACTTGGTCTCGCCCAGTGTTCGCAAGTGATGAATTTATCAACCATACTCACAGCAATTGTCAACCATCTGCAAACAAGTCTCCAGCAAGGCAAGTAGAGAACTGTTCTTCAAAGCTTGATTTGAACATGCAGTAGCGTAATTTTTAGGTATTTAATTTAACGCATCTCTGAAGAGAAATAACATGGATTAACAGAGCACATGTGCGCTCTCAAGGCTGTACCATATTAGTAATAAAAGGGGAGGAGAACACTGAATTTTAGAGTAAAGAGAATCAAAGGCTTTGTACAAATGCAAAGAATAACAGAAAATTAAATTTGGGCATGTATATAGAACTGAAAAGGAATAAAAGGAAAGTAGATAAAACCACTAAAGTGAAATGAACCATAAATTTGCGAGAGATATCTATGGCATGGCAAAAGTTTTTTTTTTAAACAAAGCTATTTAAAGAAAACAGGTGGTTGTGGCTAATGTGAGATTCTGATTTTGCAATTGAAAATGAGGAAATCACACTCTTGTATTGACATTCCACTAACCCTTTTGATATTGACATTCACAGTGCAACATGAGAATAAAGTGCGAAAGATCTAAATAGAAATAACATCAAAATAAAATATGTAAAAATAAAAATTTAATACAAATAAATGAGATAGGATCAATGGCCAAAAAACTGAAGCAAACAGCTGGAATTTTAAAAGATCATTAAGGAAGGAAAGGGAGACAAAAAAAACTTAGGAAAAGAATTCTGGATCTTACGCGTGAGGCAGATTAAGGTTTGGCAACCAGTGATGGATTGATTTAAAAATTAAGCATGTACAAATCACCACAATTGGGTAAGATTAGAGTTCTTGGAGGAAAATAAGGGGCTAAAGGGATAGGGAGGAATGTGACAGTGGAGGAATTTAATAATGAGGATGAGAATTTTAAAATTGAGACAGTGCTGAACCCAGAATCAATGTAGGTTAGTAATCGCAAAAGTGGTGGATGGAAGAGACTTTGTGTAAGTTAGAATGTCTGTTGTGGGTGAATTACTGGAATCTATTATGAGAATAATTGCAAGACTCTGGCCTTACGTGGCCCTGAAGGGTTCTGGCACTCCGGGTGGACAGTTCCTGGTGGCACTACAATCGGGTTGGCCAGCAACTCTTCAAGGTAGGACTGAAGTGAGGGGCGGAGATTTTGCCTCCACTTTGATCATGGCTGCCTCACAGCCATTTAAATATGAGGATGCAATCCATGACAACTCTTTAGGTGACAGGATGGGATACTCTACCCAATCTATCAAATAAATGCTGCCCCTAGTAAACTTAAAATCAGTGGAAATCAAGTAAAGCACTTCACAGCCTCGGATGTTGTTAGGAAGATAGTTATTGTTGCTGAAGGCTAATCATCTTGGCAGCAAAACCCATGTTTGAAAATGGAGTTAAAGTACAGGTCAACCATGATCTAATGGACTGATGGAATTGGCCTGAGAAGCTGAACAGCAAACTCCTGTTCTGTGATCCCAAGAAACAAAAAAAGCTTTTACAGCAAAGTAATGAAGTGAAATCCTGCATCCTGGAGAAATACAGCATGCAGTCCAGTGATTCGCTAGACGCTAAATTTCATATTGAATTATGCCGAGTCTCTCAATAGTGTTAGGAGAAGACTAGGATTCGGAGGTCATGTCATCATGTAAATCGGGGTTTGTCTGGCACTGGGAAACCTGAAGTGAGTTATTAAGGTTAACCACAAGTTGTGGAATTTAAGTTACTTAAAGGACAGAACAGATGAGCGTGGCAAGTTCTGACTAGTGAAGGACATCAGTGAACTAATTGGATTTTCACTGCAATTGAAAGTGTTCATGTTTAGTTGTCTGTCCCAAGCCCAAGTTGTAAAGAATTCAAAACCACAACTTGCCAGGCAGGAGTTTGAAAACACAACTGTGAGGCTACTGCTCTGGTAGCCGATGAGTTATTGTATCCATCATTAATTGATTGTGGGAAACTGCTGAAGTTCTTATGAAATTAAGTGAATCTGTTTGTACTTATCCATATTTCTGCCTTTGAATATGTTGGTCTTCTGTTGATTTAGTTATCTCATCTTAGACTGCAAGACAATAATAGGAGCAGGAGTAGGCCACTCAGCCCCTCGAGCCTGCTCTGCCATTCAATAGGATCATGCCAGATCTGACATCCTCACATCCATTTTCCTGCCCTTTCCCTGTAACCCTTGATTTCCTGACTGATCAAGAATCTGTATATCTCAGCCTTCAACATACATAAGGACTCTATCCCCACAGCTCTCTGAGGCAAGGCGTTCCAAAGATTCTCAACCCTCAGAGAAGAAATTCCTTCTCATCTCAGTTTTAAATTTAACGCCACTCAATTCTGAGACTATGCCCTCTGATCCTGGACTCTCCCACGAGGGGAAACATCGTCTCAGCATTTACCCTGTCCCTTAAGAATTCTATATGTTTCAATGAGATTACCTCTTGTTCTTCTAAACTCCAATGAGTAGAATCCCAGATATAGTAGGAACTGCAGATGCTGGAGAATCCGAGACAGCAAGGTGCAGAGCTGGATGAACACAGCAGGCTAAGCAGCATCATAGGAGCAGAAAGGCTGACGTTTCGGGCCTAGACCCTTCATCAGAAAAGGGGGAGGGG